TCCCACTGCGGGGCCCAACCGGGGTCAGCTGGGGTGGGGTTGGCAGTGCCTGATGAGTGGGAAGGGCAGTCTTACCACGCTTTCACCATATCCATTTTTCCTGGACTTTGGGCTACCGTTGCCTGTGCCTGTCGTTGAATTATTTATATTTCCATTTTGAGGCAGCCTGAAGAGGGAAGGAAGGGAAAGAGGGACATACGTGTTGAGCCATTTCTCATCACCAGTATAGCCAGTTGCATCCCTGGCTCCTCATAGGCGTCTGCTCCTCCTCATCAAGTACTTGCACTGGTTCTTGGGAGCCAGGGAGGGAGCAGGGGGTTGGAGAGGCTGGGAGGGGGCACAGTGGTCGGGCAGACAGCTGCAGCCAGAGCTAAGTTTAGCCTCTGATCTGGCTCTGATGCAGATGCATTTTTGGCTAAGGCAGCCCCCCACCCCACCCCGTACCCCTCCCTACCCAGCTTCTCCCTAGCAAAGAGAAGAGCCCTTGAGGCATGAACTTAGACTAAGACAACGACCCCTAGGCTTCCTGCCCCCACTCTGTCCTTCCCCAACCCTAGAGAGGGGATGGCTTCCTCGCAGCTGCCTCTTCCCCGGGCACAGCGCCTGAATGGCTCCCAGGGTGCCGTCTGGGTCTGTGAGGGAGGGTGAGGCAGACACGGTGCCCTCTTCCTCCCTCCAGTGCCAAGGAGTCACTATTTATAATTTTAAGGCTTCAGTGTCTAATTATAACTGAGAAGGGGTTAGTAAGAGGGGGGCCGGGAGGTGTCACCTACCGAATGTCCCAGGCCCACTCAGAAGAAAGGAGAAGAGGCCGTGTGAGGTTTGGAAGGGGAACGGGCGTGTCCTGTCCTTACCTGGGGTCATGCCTGCAGGTCTCACGCCAGCCAGTTTGGGCCAGTTGGAGAGAGAAAGGCCTGGAGTGACAGTGACAGCTGGCTGGGACCGAGGCAGTGCCAGAGAAAGGGTTGATTCCCCCGGCCCACAGGGTCCTCTAGGGTCAGACCAGGGGAGGAGCCCGCCTGGGCCAGGGGGGAAGGGATCTGGCCCCTTCCCCCACTTTTATCTGTCTCCTCTTTCAGGGCCGGCATATGGGTGAGGGGGCACCCCCTGGGGCCTGAGCTGCCCCGCACAGGATGCCCCGTGCCCCCCGCTTCATGCCCTTGCTGCTCCTGCTGCTCTCACTTCCCCATACCCAGGCTGCCTTCCCCCAGGACCCCCTCCCTCTGCTGACCTCTGACCTGCAAGGTGAGTGCCCTGGCCCGACACCCCGCTGGGTGAGCTCTTCACTCCAGACCCCTGTGTAGGAGGCCAGGGTACAGGAAGACACCCAGCAGGGGAAGCAGACAGGTAGAGGGAACGGGCGCTGCTGGCCCTGCTTCCTTCACTTGGAGGCAGTGCGGTCATTTGGTGGTTAAGAGCACGGACTCTCAGCCAGACCAAACCTTAGCAGGTTTGGATCCCTGCCCGGCAACTCATTAGCCTCACAACCTTGGTTAGATTGTTTAACCTTCCTTTGCCTCAGTCTCCTCATCTGCAAAATGAAGAGAGCAAATAGCATTCTGCCTCAGAGTTATGTAGGGATTAAATGAGGCGCCAAGAACACGGTCTGGCACATGGTAAGTGCTGCCTGTGTGTTTGCTATTACTGTTAGGTATGCCACAAAGGTTCAGGGCTGGTTCAGTGGTTCCCCACACCTCTTCCCCCATCTCCACCATTTGCACCACAACTAAGCCTAGGTCCCACTGTGAGGGAAACCATACACCCACTTTTTTCTGAGAAGAACCTTGATCTATTTGCAGGTTCCTGTTATGGATGTAGAATTTAGAGTAATTTTAAGGACCAAGGGACTGCAGTTGGGTCCCTGGGAGTAAGTGTTGGGGGATAAGAATAGCAAACACTTGCATGTGCCAGATGCGGTTCTGAGCACCATATAAACATTAAAGCATCTATGTCTGAACTCTGAGCTGCCTCTGGGCGCTGATGATCATGGTTGCCATGGTCAGGCCAGCAGACACGGAGGGTGGTCAACGGAGACAGTGACCTGGGACGGCTGAGGTGGCTTCTGAAGAGCCTTGAGGGGATGATACCAAAAGCTGGGAGAAATGGAGTAAGTGCTCCAGACAGGACAGTGTATGGCACGGGAACGAGAGGGGAGCGCTAGCCAGCCCTACAGCCCTTCCAAGAAGGAACTGTGTTCAGCTCTGGAGTAGGACAGACCTGGATCTGAATCCCAGTGCCTTCCACTTCCCAGCTAAATAAACTAGGCAAATTCCTTAATGGCTTTAAGCCTCAGACTCCTCATCTGTAAAGTGGGGCCAATATTAGTATAGTAAAACCTTGCGGCAAGATAAGCAAACATTATTTTTAATTAAAAAAATGTTTATCTTTAGAGAGATGGAGAGACGGAGCGCGAGCAGGGGAGGGGCAGAGAAAGAGGGAGACACAGAATCCAAAGCAGGCTCCAGGCTCTGAGCTGTCAGCACAAAGACAGATGTGGGGCCTGAACTCACAAACCGTGGGGGATCATAACCTGAGCCAAAGTTGGATGCCTAACCGACTGAGCCACCCAGGTGCCCCTCTAATAAATTTTAACTTGATGAATGAGTGATGTCTTGTGATACAAATAGTATGTGATACTGAATATCACTTGATCACAACTGAGCCAATGGTTCTTGAAATTCACTTTAATATATGAGTGCTTTGGATTACAAGCATCATTCCAGAATGAATTATGCTTGCAAACCAAGTTTTACTGTATTTCCCTTATAGGGTTGTATTAAACAAGGCATCTAAAATGCTAACATGGTGGTTGGCCGAGGTTAAGTGCTCAGGGCTAGCATTATTTTATTAATAGCTGTATTAATAGTTTTTTTAATACCTCACAACTTGTCTTCCTCATCCACAATGTCCATGGCTGGATTTCAACTGGCTGGAAAGGGTATTGGGGGAGTGCATGGTGTCCTGGCTCAGCCTCAGCACCCACCTCTCTGTGTCTTCTAGGGACTTCCCCATTATCCTGGTTCCGGGGCCTGGAGGATGATGCTGTGGTTGCCGAACTTGGGCTGGACTTTCAGAGATTCCTAACCTTGAACCGGACCTTGCTAGTGGCTGCCCGGTAAACTGGCCGTGGCACTGTTGTGGGGCCGACATGCATGCTCCTGGGCAGACATGGGACCTGCATGGCCACTGCAGCACCTTGCAGGGGACACATGCAGGTGTACAAGCCATGGGACGTGGACATGCTTGGACCCAGAGCGCAAATGCCGAGGCATGGAGTAAGGGGGGGGATAGCAGGAGGTCTGCGATGTTTGTCTCTGACCACTGAGCCTGAGCAGGGTGGCAGTAAGGAGCTCAGGTGGGGTGCCTTCGTTTGGCTCTGATCCCTCCTTACCTCTCCCTGCAGGGATCACGTTTTCTCCTTCGATCTTCAAGCCCAGGAGGCAGGGGAGGGGCTGGTGCCCAACAAGGTAAGAGGCATGTGGCAGGAGGTGCAGGCATGGAGATGAGGCCTGGAAAGGTCTGCTGGGGGTCCAGCGGGTGGGAAAAAGAATCTAAAAGGAGCCGTCATGTGAGGGGGCATCCAGCTTGCCCCATGATGTTCCCTCCCTTCTGTCTCTCCCTTCAGTATCTAACATGGCGGAGCCAAGACATGGAGAACTGTGTTGTGCGGGGAAAGCTGACGGTGAGGAGCGTGAGGAGCGGGGTGACAATTTCGAGGGGAGAATTTCCCGCCTCTCCAGGCTCTGTCCAGGACCACAGTGGTCCTCTGCTGTGCCCAGTTTTCCCGCCCACTTGCATCTGGGGTGGGGTGGGGGGGATGCAGGAAAGGGGATGAATAGTTTTTGCCTTCCTTCACAGAAGAGCTAGGCTCTAGCAGGCCAAAGAATCTGTCTGAGGTTGCAGGGTAGCAAATAGCTTGGCTGGGACTTTACCCCACATTGCTCTGACCGTCTCAGGGGAGGTGGCCTTACTTCCTGTGGCCCCCTGTCCCAGTCCTAGGGAGCCCTGTCGCTGACCTGGAATTTTGGCTTCTCTAGGACGAGTGCCACAACTATATTCGTGTTCTTGTTCCCTGGGACTCCCAGACACTCCTTGCCTGTGGAACGAACTCATTCAGCCCCGTGTGCCGCAGCTATGGGGTACAAAGGCGGAGGGAGGGGGTGTGGGGCAGGGAAGGGGTCATGATGGGAGTGGGAAGAGAACCCAAGGTGGGCAACCAGCGAGGGTAGGGGAACCGGAGTGTCCAGAATGCAAGGGTCCTGAAGGGGTTGGGGAGAGAGGCAAGGGGACGCGGGGAGGTGGGTGATGGAGCCAGACTCCGAGACCCTGATGGTTCCAAGAATCTGTTCCCTCTCCCTCCAGATAACTTCGCTGCAGCAGGAGGGTGAAGAGCTGAGTGGGCAGGCTCGATGCCCCTTTGATGCCACCCAGTCCAACGTGGCCATCTTTGCAGGTGTGCACCTGGGCACGTGAGAAGCGGGCCTGTGGCCGGAGGGGGCTACCACCTCAGCCCTTCTCCCAATTTGGTCTCTCCCTATGCTCCTGAGTGGAAGGTTGAGGTAGGGGGCAGGGCCAGGGTGAGTGAGGTAGGGGTGTAGGAGGCCCAAGAAGCACCAGATCCCTGGGCCCTCCCCTGACTCCCCCCTACCCGCCCCTCCAGAGGGCAGCCTATACTCAGCCACAGCTGCGGATTTCCAGGCCAGTGATGCTGTGGTTTACAGAAGCCTTGGGCCTCAGCCCCCACTCCGCTCGGCCAAGTACGACTCCAAGTGGCTCAGAGGTCAGGGAGGGCCTGGGGGAGGGAGGCTGCTCTTGGGGAGGAGGTGCAGGGGGAGGACAGGGGGAGGTGCAGGGAGCAGGCAGAGGGTGGTGGTACTGGTACTGTGCCTGTGTGAAAGGCAGAAGGCTGTGTGGGGCCTGGAGTCTCTGAGCATGCTGTTTCCTGTCTCCGCCCCCTCAGAGCCACACTTCGTCCATGCCTTGGAGCACGGAGACCATGTCTACTTCTTCTTCCGAGAGGTCTCTGTGGAGGATGCTCGGCTGGGAAGGGTAAGGAGGTGGGCACCAGGGGTGGGTAGCTAGAGAGTTCTGCTGGATCCTGAGGAGCCAGTCAAGAGTCAGTGAAGAGCTCCTGGCCCTAATCTCCACCATATAGTCCCTTGGACTCTGAGCCCCAACTTGGAGTAGCCCCCAGCCCTCTGCCCCCACATCCTGCTGTGTCCCTCATCCTTGACCCCAACCGATCTACCACGCTATACCCTTCCTTTGCTGTGCCCCTAACATTGGTCTCTCGGTCCTCCAACACTCCAGATTCGTGTCCCCGCCACTGGCCCTGGGGCCCTCCCTGTTCTCCTAGTCCTGGCTCTCCCCCCCCAACCCAGGTGCAGTTCTCCAGGGTGGCCCGAGTATGTAAACGTGACATGGGCGGCTCACCTCGGGCCTTGGACCGCCACTGGACATCCTTCCTGAAGCTGCGGCTCAACTGCTCTGTTCCTGGAGATTCTACCTTCTATTTTGACGTCTTACAGGCCTTAACTGGGCCTGTGAACTTGTATGGCCGCTCTGCTCTCTTTGGGGTCTTCACCACGCAGACCAATAGGTTAGTAGTAGACTAACCGACATGGCCCAATCTGTCCCTTGTCCCACCAGCGTCTGAGCCCCCCTCCCACAGCCTGCTGATGCCTTATATTGAGGGGAGACTCCATTCAAGGCCAGTTTACTATTCTGTTCATTTTTTTTTCTCCCAGCATGGCCCCCAGAGACTGTCTCACCCTCTCAGGCTCCACGTCCTAATATGGTGCATAAGGGCAGCTGCCGTGTCTCACCTGGGAGGGGCTGTGCTATCCCTCCCAACCCCCAGCCCACATCCTTTTCTGGCTCCTTCAGCATCCCTGGCTCTGCAGTCTGTGCCTTCTACCTGGATGATATCGAGCATGCATTTGAGGGCAAGTTCAAGGAGCAGAGGAGTCTGGATGGGGCCTGGACACCCGTATCTGAAGACAGGGTTCCCTCCCCCAGGTACCCAGGATGGGGGTGGCTTTTGTCGGGGCAGAAGCAAGCAGTGTGTTCCCACATGGGATTATGAAGAGAGGGTCTATGGGATTAGGGGGAGGGGGCTCAGTGGGTTGGCATGGGACTGGAGAGCTGTGGAGAAAAGGAAGGCAGTAGTTGAATGTCTGTGTGAAGGGGTAGAGCAAAGGTTACCAATCATGTTTGGGAGCAGCTGGGGGGGTGGGGTACTTAACTAAACCCTGGGTCCCCGTCCTAACATGGCTCCTTTCCATGTGCCTACCAGGCCAGGATCCTGTGCAGGTGTAGGTGTGGCTGCCTTGTTCCCCTCTTCCAGAGATCTCCCTGACGACGTCCTGACCTTTATCAAGGCTCACCCACTGCTGGACCCGGCCGTGCCACCTGCTACCCATCAGCCTCTGCTCACCCTCACCAGCAGGTATGTGGCTAGACAAATGACAGCTACTGCCCAA